TCGAAACCGCAACTCGACTGTTGCCAGTCCGTGGTTGAGACCACTGAGCTACGGGGGACGGCAACGACCATCGTGAATAAGTTACTAGATGTGATATAGCGCCGCTCACTATCCACTGACTTACACGTTACTGCCGTGCATAGGACAGGGTAGCCCCCTCACCAAGCGACGAGCTTAACAAACTTAAGCCGCCAATTATCTTATGGCATTATAAGCAGTTTGTTCTGTGTACTGATTGCAGAAGAGTAGTAGGGGGAGTTGAATGGTATAGGTAGAATTTCGTCACATCTAGGCTCACTCAGACAGCCGCCACAAGCCCGGAAAAGCACTGTACGCGCGTTTCATCCTTTCGGGAATCATCAGCAGTGCGCATTCCATCGGACCCTTGGTAGGGCTCGAAACCGCAACTCGACTGTTGCCAGTCCGTGGTTGAGACCACTGAGCTACGGGGGACGGCAACGACCATCGTGAATAAGTTACTAGATGTGATATAGCGCCGCTCACTATCCACTGACTTACACGTTACTGCCGTGCAGAGGACAGGGTAGCCCCCTCACCAAGCGACGAGCTTAACAAACTTAAGCCGCCAATTATCTTATGGCATTATAAGCAGTTTGTTCTGTGTACTGATTGCAGAAGAGTAGTAGGGGGAGTTGAATGGTATAGGTAGAATTTCGTCACATCTAGGCTCACTCAGACAGCCGCCACAAGCCCGGAAAAGCACTGTACGCGCGTTTCATCCTTTCGGGAATCATCAGCAGTGCGCATTCCATCGGACCCTTGGTAGGGCTCGAAACCGCAACTCGACTGTTGCCAGTCCGTGGTTGAGACCACTGAGCTACGGGGGACGGCAACGACCATCGTGAATAAGTTACTAGATGTGATATAGCGCCGCTCACTATCCACTGACTTACACGTTACTGCCGTGCAGAGGACAGGGTAGCCCCCTCACCAAGCGACGAGCTTAACAAACTTAAGCCGCCAATTATCTTATGGCATTATAAGCAGTTTGTTCTGTGTACTGATTGCAGAAGAGTAGTAGGGGGAGTTGAATGGTATAGGTAGAATTTCGTCACATCTAGGCTCACTCAGACAGCCGCCACAAGCCCGGAAAAGCACTGTACGCGCGTTTCATCCTTTCGGGAATCATCAGCAGTGCGCATTCCATCGGACCCTTGGTAGGGCTCGAAACCGCAACTCGACTGTTGCCAGTCCGTGGTTGAGACCACTGAGCTACGGGGGACGGCAACGACCATCGTGAATAAGTTACTAGATGTGATATAGCGCCGCTCACTATCCACTGACTTACACGTTACTGCCGTGCATAGGACAGGGTAGCCCCCTCACCAAGCGACGAGCTTAACAAACTTAAGCCGCCAATTATCTTATGGCATTATAAGCAGTTTGTTCTGTGTACTGATTGCAGAAGAGTAGTAGGGGGGTTGAATGGTATAGGTAGAATTTCGTCACATCTAGGCTCACTCAGACAGCCGCCACAAGCCCGGAAAAGCACTGTACGCGCGTTTCATCCTTTCGGGAATCATCAGCAGTGCGCATTCCATCGGACCCTTGGTAGGGCTCGAAACCGCAACTCGACTGTTGCCAGTCCGTGGTTGAGACCACTGAGCTACGGGGGACGGCAACGACCATCGTGAATAAGTTACTAGATGTGATATAGCGCCGTGATATAGCGTGATATAGCGTGATATAGCGCTATATCACATCTAGTAACTTATTCACGATGGTCGTTGCCGTCCCCCGTAGCTTAGTGGTCTCAACCACGGACTGGCAACAGTCGAGTTGCGGTTTCGAGCCCTACCAAGGGTCCGATGGAATGCGCACTGCTGATGATTCCCGAAAGGATGAAACGCGCGTACAGTGCTTTTCCGGGCTTGTGGCGGCTTTCTGAGTGAGCCTAGATGTGACGAAATTCTACCTGTTGCACAATTATTATGACGTGTCATATTTGTGGTTCCTGCAATACCGTGAGTCGGATATTTTAAATTTTACATGTGAACGAAACGGTCTATACGGCTGACAAATTTTATCAAGTTTTTCACCATATGTCGAAAGAGCGGTAAAGCATTCATTTCTACTTGCAGTATAATACATTATTCAGTATCCAGTAGTATTTAGTATTCTCATCCTCATGCATGAAGACTTACTCGTTTTATGCGTACATGTATATATATAGATATAGATTTGTATGTATTTAAAAATGGTTTTGTTTGAAATCTTTTAACTACTTCGCATATAACTGAATATCGATCACCAAAGAACAATTTGTTTACATACCCAACAAACAGTATTTAGGTTTGCTTATTTTAAGAGCTACAACCACTAAAATAAGTTTGCACCTGAAGGTTAAAGCGAAATATTCACCGTCATGTATTCATTTCGGGACTAATGAACAGTTCAACGTACAGTGGATAAGGAACTTTGTCTTAATTATTTGTATAAAAAACTAAGTATTTAACTTGCCAGTAATTTATCAGATTATCTGGGCCACTAGTAATTAACTTTAAAAATTTCGGAAAAAATCACTTATCCCCAAATATTTCAATTGGAGGGCAACTGTTATTGGCAAGAAAATGTTTGGTCATTTGCATTAAATAAGGTATTAATATTAGTTGGGTTGCATATGTAGAGGATTAGTTTATGCTCTGCAGCATTAAATTTTTTTTACCCTAAGGCAAAAAGCACTTTTTTTCTAAGCAATTATACAAAAGAAGGAAAACTTCAGCTAGCCAGCATTGGCGATAAATTGCTCTCATAACTTAACGTTCACACTGAAAAAGGACGAAACCTCTATGTTTTCCCTTATGTTTTTCCACAATATTAATACCTTTTAGCTGATATGCATATATTTAACAGCTGATGCTGACGGGTAAAATCTTGTTGAAATATAATTGTGATGAGATCTTAGTTGAAGCATTGTATTGATTTTACGGTCAAAATTTACTCATATTTACCAAACTGCCCAAGGCATTACATAACATAAATGTTCCCAACCATGTGTATAATTGCCAAAATTCGGACGTTATTCAAATAGAATTAATTGCCAGTTCAAAATAAACATCAAACTCATATATTTATTTAAAATGTCTCTTTACGTAGTAGTGTTAATAATTAGTACTACAATTTTCAAGATATCCGATAGGCGCACAAATTTCTTTTTACTTAATTAATTATGGAAATTTATGTTTATTTTTTATAGCAATATATTCAATTGAAAAAATTTTCTTTTTTGGTTCCTACCATTGGGTATAAACGTATTAGGCTCATTAGTAGACCAATAATCTCCTGTAAGAAAATATAGTCTTTATGATGTTGTCTCATTGACAGTGCTTAATTTTAGCAAAATAAATCATATGAATTCCCTTGCCAAGCATAGGAAAGTTTGCAGATATCAATAAATATATACGCTAGGTGGCATATTGCGAACCTTGGAATGCACCTTTACACCATTATCGAGATGCTTTGCTATTCCGGCAAGAATTTAAGTATCCTCACGACGTTCAAGTATATTGCCTGCATCGAAATACATGACAGGAAAAGGTAGGCAAAATTTGACGGTTATGTTGTTTAATTTTTTAACAGTTGCTACTGTACAAGTTCTTATTTGATATACGAATTAACATAAGGTCAATTGTATAAATTAAGATGACGACTATCAGTGCGAATGTATATATTTCTGTCAAATACTGAAATATACAGGAAAGCAATTGCTGCGCAAAAGGTATGTTATTTGTTGGCTTTGATTGCGAAATAAGGTGGAAAATAAGTATACTTCTAGATTTGCTAAACCTAGTTCATGTTATATAACTCAAATGTCTATATTCGGTAGCCTGCATACCAATTTTTGCTGGTGTGTAAAACGACATTTTTCCAGCTGTTGAATTTCAACACAATGTAAAACGTGGAATAAATTTAGCAATTATACAACCTACACACCAGGTATGCAGATAATCTGAGCATTACAATTGTTGTCCATTTACACAACTTCTTTGAAAATTTAGACAATAATGCAGGTATATTAATATTTCTGTATACTAATCAGTTAGATGAATTCCGGACAACTTGTAATTGTGTTGAACACCAGCAGGTGTGAGTGGGCTGATAGCTGCTTTATTTTTAGTTGTTAGTACTTCCTCCACAAACCTACACATAATTATTTGTTAATTTCTAATTGCATCGACCTATATGTAAAATAAATGAACTTATCTCCAAACTAGCTTGGATTAATACCCTGCAAAAATAAATATACAATTTCCAGGCTCCTATTAATAAATAATAATTCACGAAATTTCCTCTAAATGGCTCATAAAGCTGAAATTGTAAAAGCCTAACGATTCCAACAGATCAGATTGAGGTAAAAGGCGCATCAATTATAAACAATTTTGTGCTGAAATACTCATAAAATGGTAGTACTATTATCAATGTTATGTTAACCGTTTTGAATGCACACACGCATTGACCTAAAACGGTACAAATAGGGCTAAAATTTTAAGAATGTTTTGAAAATATCATAGAAGATACTACATTACCTTATGTTTGAATGAGATCTTTCCTGCTTTACGAAGGACATGTCATTTACACAGTTTTTTCAAATTGTTGCCCTGAAGTAGATGTTAGATGTTCTTAGGCAGCGAAACCCTTACTGAAGTGCCATTTGTTAAGAAAAATCTTTTATAATACCGTAATAATTAGTGTTGCCGAAACGTTTCAGATGTAAATATATCTTATTTGGGCCGGCTGATTATTTAGAAGAATTGTAGATTAGTAGGATTTAATAACGGCTTAAACTCCTAACATTTCTGCGCATTTACTCAGCGTAATTATAACCGGATGTTTTCACGCATTTTTCTTGACTTCTTGGAACAGTCATTATAATACCGATGGCTTCATTTGCAGTTAAGAAGGCTAGTTTTCAAAATAACCAGTGTTAATTATTTTTGTAAACAACCTGCAAATTACTGTATAGTGAAAATAAGCAAGTGTATTACAATGAATAATTTCTTAATTGTGCCAGAAATGTAATTACAGTGCTCAAGTACCTTCATATGACACGATTATAAATGCAACATCAGAGGGCACTTTACTGAACAGATAAGATGCACCATGAAATTTAGTCCGTTTTTAAATCGCATTTTGCTTTCATAACATAGTACTTGCCGGTTAGTAGTTACTTTTTCTTCAACATTGCTGATGTGCGCATTAGGATTGTGTTTCTTTTCCTTCCTCCGCCTTGAGCTGTTCTGCTGCAGCCAGAGTTGCTTCATTTTCAGTATGTCTACGAACGGTTGTTGACATTTTCCCTTTGGTGACAGTCTGCAATTCAACGATAATTTGTTTACTTGACCCCAGTTTCTTAGACTGCGTCGCTTTGTTTTGTTTAATATTCAGCAAACGGCAAATAATTGTGCGCAAGATCGTCATCCGGGAACGAAAATGCCTATTCATGCATGAGTATATTATAGGATTTGCCGCTGAATTGGTGAAATACAGAAAGAACAACACATGGCCGACTTCTACGTACCACTTTTCCTTTTCTATAAACGTCGGAATGTTACGTTTTGAGATGGGGATACTGGTGTATACCATATAAGGTGTATAAGAAAGCATAAACGCAGCGGCAATGACAGCGAAAGTTTGGGCTGTGCGAACATACGGGCGTCTTCTGTGTTCCATTGTTTGTACAGCCCATGTGGCACGCGTTTTGTAATCGGTATTTTGAGGAAAACGGGCGTCCGGTACATTTTCTATGCTTTGCAAAGGTACCAGCTTAGTGTGGTTAAACGCTGATGCGGGACTCGAATCACGTGGCACTCGTATTTTAGAACAACAACAGTAAGAGCACACGATCAATTCATCAGAGTGTTCCGTTTTGTATGACTCACCCGATTTTGTTTGACTAAAACTTATAAGCGGTGAGTTTTCCCAAGGTTTTCGTTGTGTCGTTTCCTGGATTTCGGTTTGTCCAGTCACTGGTCTAGGGATGCTAATTTGGCTTCCAAAACTGACGTCGTTTCTGTCAGATCCAGAACAGCATGCACAACGAAACCCATTGGGTTCCGTTTGGATTCCGTTCATTTTCTCTATCGGTCGCTGGCTAGCACACATTGAAACCTCAGTCGGCTTTCCTTCCTCACGATTGCTTTTCTTTGACGACGGGTTGCTTGCATAGATTCTTATCCAATATCCACGATATTTAGACTTTCCGTATCGCTCAAACATTAGAGATTCATGGCGCCAGACAAACAGAAATGTAGTTCCATAGAGGAATAGTAGTAATGCAAATAGTGACGCGAATAAAATCATAACTAAAATCTGATAATACCAGTATGTTTTATCATTGATGTGATAATCATCCTTCCCGCACCTCTTTGGAATATGTTTCTCCGTTTTCAGTCGTTGTAACAGATTTGTCACACTCAGGCTGATGTACAAGTCCAACAATTCATCTCGTTCTTTAGCCATCCGAACGGCTTTGCTGTGTAGAGCCATCGGAGCCGATAAGATTACACCGACCAATAGGATAAAAGTGAAGGCGATGTAAAGATGTGATTTTTTCAGCTTTACTCCAGGAATAAAGCAAATTAATAGAAATCGTTCCAGCGCAATCAACACGAGCAGGCAGGCGGATACAGGAACAACAAATCCTTTGAATGCCATGTGTGCCCGACAAATCCAATCAGTGGTATCTCCGATCCAAATGTCCAGGTACATAGTTGAAGGCACACCGACCAAACATATGGTTAGATCCAAGAAAGCAAGCACTAAAATCAGTAAGCTTGAGACGATTCCTTGAGTTACTTCACACCGAAAAGCCCAAATAACTAGACTATTTCCAATAATACCAACGACGGCTATCACTGTCAATAACACAGTGGTAGCAACCATAGTATATAGGTTACTCTGTGTTGGCATGTGAAACAATACTTCCAGTTCTTCATTTGAACTATTATTCATCAGATTACCTGACAGGTTCATGGCATGTGAGCATTTAGTTATAACACTCCTAACGCTAATAGCAGTGTGTGCAAGATGAGAAGGTACATCGGCAGCAAAATAAGTCTAGTTACGATACGCTAACCACTGACCGTGATTGGCTGATCCATCATTGGTTGATTGTAGAACCTGTCGTTGCGTATGCAATAAACAAGATATCACAAGTGGATGTAACACACACACACACTGATAAGCCGTTAATCGGTGATAGTATATGTCAAAAGGTAACTAAATGAATACCATAGAAAAGAAATACTACGGTGCAACAGACTGATTGCGAGTGAAAACAGACCACCATCCATGAATTATGCTGGTAGGAATAAGGAGAGTTTAAAACTTCAGAGGAATACTTTACTAACAACACGTGAATTTGTGACCTAAGGGCAAAGTCGCCAAACGTCAGTCAAATAAATGTTTGTGTTCCTTTAAATCCAAATATATTACCTACATTGTTCTTCATTAAGGTAACCAAAAATTCGCCCTGGTAGATTTAGTCACTTGGGATTTCGAAAAAACGGCCTTCATAATTAACCTCAACACAACATACATCACAGTTTTTTCTGATATTACTTCTTTGGATAAATCTGGTTGTCAATTGTATCCTTTATTGTAAGGTTTTGTTTTATTGGAGCGATTTTAATCACGCAATATATTTATCGAACTGTGTGCAAACTGCAATCACTGCAAGGGAGGTAGTTAAATAACTGTCGTAATTGTCCGCCGCTATCATCCACGGCTCGATGTTATACCTCACAGGTCTAGTGGAAGTACCGTCTTGGGTTAGAAACCGGCGGTTTCTGGCGGGTGAGCACACCAGAACAGCCAACGCAGGTAAAAACGATTGTCTATTGCTTCTCTGTATTTGTGGTGGCCGCGTCTAGCTTAGAGAACTCTACGAAAAAAGCAAAGAAAATCCCCATAGTGATTACTGAAAAACAGAAATCACTTACCAGTTTACTTCCCACTTTGGCTGTAGGCATTTTTAAAATTAGTTGTAACTATGACGGCAGCACTATCCTTTACACATTCCTAACAGCTAGAACATTGAAATCTGTGTAGTGGCATAGTACAGTTAGAAAGTGTTAACGGTCGTCTACCGCCTTCACCAATGTCTCGAAATCCTACGTCGCTCCTTTGTTATATTACCTTAATGAGCTAAGATCTAACGGGTTCATGAAGACCCACTACCCAATTTAACCACATAAAAAGCCTGTATGCTATTTTGCTGGGTGTGTAATATCTCCCTGGCTGAGACTGCGTTCACAAAATAGTCAATAATTAGTTAATATATCTATTGCTAGTATAGGCGCCATTTTATTGCAACTGGTGAATTATGTTTCTAGGTGTGAGAAGCAAGCATACTGTCCGCAGTGTAGCCGAAACGCTGCAAACAGCAAAGCCGTTATATAAATTCAGATTGAAACGCAAAACACTACGTCCGTATATAGAAGGGTGCGACTACATGATAAAATAATTTCATATCCCATTTAATAGTAACGCAGAGACAGAGAGTCCAGGCTGTATCCAATTTTATTATATCCTCTAATAGCCATTTGGGTAACTATGCATGTTCTCAAAATACACCTTACTTGACTATGTGAAGATTTGTTTTAATGCACTTGATATTGTAAGTTTGGATATAAAGTTGGTGTGAATTCCCTTTAAATGCTGTCGCTCAAAAATTACCTATAGCAAAATTCGCTGACGGTTGGGGTTAAAATTTGCTGAGTACATTCATGTGATTTGTCTCAGTATGCAATATGATCACCATAACCCAATGTCTGTTTTTGTTAAATTATAAACTTAAGGTTAGTTGGGTGTGTGGTAACAAGTTATGTTGTTCCGCCAAAGTACTTGAAAATCGTGTGATCTTCAGCCCATTTGTTGATCTGTATATTCGAAGTTGTACAATAAAATAATACACTATATACAAACCCGAAATACCAAGAATTCTTGCACAAAGCTCTTTAACAGTTAGGCAAAAATGTGAAGTAGAATGAAGTGTGCAATTGTAATTGATAAGCACAGCAAGTGTTAATCAAGTCTTTTTAAATCCATTCAAGAAAATATTGAGCAATTTTTGATGAAGCATTTTGCTATTGCACTCGGTATTTACTCACACGATACAAATTTCTATTAAGCTAAATAATTTACAGTTGTATCTACATGCGTAAGACTAGACGTACGTATACCAAATGCTAAGGAACAATATTTTTTACTTGCAAATGGAAGAATGGGGGCGCCTATAACATTACTATTCTGTTTGGAACCACATTTCTATACACAGAATTAGGATTTGTCCGTTTTCGTTGCAAGTACCTTGTGTTTAACGCAAGAATGAACGTGTGGATTTTAAAAGTACAAAGAGGTTATCAAATAAAGTTTAGTTGGAATTATATTTGCGAAACATTTGTTGATTTACTATTCGGCAGAACTTAGCTTTTAATAGAAAAAAATCTTCAGGACAACTGAATAGCGAGCGATATAGGTACTCATGACGGTTTATTTGTGTCACTGAACTCCTTAAAGCACAAGTGGTAAGTGATCTCAAGTGCTCCAGTCGGATTTGCTTTGTTCCCGCGTATTACTAATTTTAAAGTTCCCTATTATGGCCTCAGTGACGATGATGATGTTAACGGTCGTTGCAAAACACGCTGATCCGCGTATTCCCACTCGGCTGTTTGACAGGAGAAAATTGCCCTACATTATTCGAGAGCTCCACACTCTTCATTTTCTACACGACTATTCGCTCTAGAGACTTAACTTTCGAATACTATCAGGTGAATTATTTGGAATAAGTGACACGGGGCAATCTATTAAAAGCATAGTATCTTACAATTAAGATGCCTGGGGAGTAAAATAATACCGTTATCTCAAAAATGATACGCGGGATAATAAATATACTTCCGCACGGATAGTGTAACCAAAGATTTAGTAAACTTGCTGATCTATTTTCCTTTTAGATATTTGTGTGTGATCCGTCTTAAAGCATATCATCTGAATCTGAAGCTGAAGGCTGCGTTCTGAAGAAACACAATTAATCAAGTTTTAATAAGGCCTTACAAATTTTGTCTAATGAAGAACTATGATAAAATAAAGAAAGTTGGTGTGTTTGAAATTTTACTTACTATGCATCAATAGGTGATCAGCATCAGGATTAATCCCGGGGAAATTAGTAACAATTGTATTGTGGCAAATTAAAACGATATGGTTTTAAGCGAAACGACTTATGTATTGTCAAAGGAAAGTATAAGCCTTCCCTTAAATAAACTTCGAGTTAAAATCGTAGTACCAAAGTTACCTAAGTTATGAGAGGAAAATAAATGTGCATAGCTAGTGAACGTTCATGAATTTCAACAACAGTGAGGACCTAACTTTGCATCAGCGGAATCTATCGCGTTGAAAGTTTTAAAAGACGATGATTATTTCGCACTTTTACTTACCAATAAAGGAAACGCAACTGTTGTAAAGAATAACGATTGCGCTTGAATAGATGACATAACATTTAACGACAGGGTTTGACAAGTTACTTGAGAATAAAACAGTAAAAATGCGAAGCCCGATGATAAAACGGAGTTTGGCCACTGTTTCGATCTCATGCAGGAGGCTGCTAAACATTATGGTCTACTAGGAACTAAAACGCTTAATGTCCCATGCAGCATATAGTCGACGGTATATATTCTTCACACAAGAATCTGCGCGATATTTGTCAGGAAATTGCCATGACGAAGAAGCACACTTTAAGCCAATTAACTGTTGCCAGCGCTATAGAAGGACTTGTAGTAACATCATATTTCCCATGGCTATTTTTTGTTACAAAGTCACTCGGCAGTTTTACTAGCCGTTTTGACCATCATACATGTGCCACAACTAGCACACAATCGATATTACTACGTTGAGCAACTCAATACACCGCTGTACCAACACATGCTAGCCTTCTTTCGCAGGTTTTCTCTGTCCTTGCTTTATTATGTTGTACGAGCATCATAATCTTACAGTGGGAATACATGTGTCAACAACTTTGTGTCATCCAAGAACGACGAGGCTCTAGTTCTGAATCCAGCAAAAAGAAGAGCATATACAGGCATCCAAACTTGCGTTTTACTGTTGCATTTCAAGCACTGGATTGCGTAAGGTGCTATTTAAACAAGCTAATACATTGTTTGTGCGAACATTAACATTAATCAAATAGTACAGGGCATGACAATGTGCATTAGCATATCTTATTTTCCTATTCGAAGCTCTGCATCCAGTAACAAGGACTGGATATGAGCTGTTCAAATGCTCTTGTAATAGAAAATGTTATATGGGTGAATTTGTTAACAAGACACTAGTTAATGTAAGGACCTCACAGAAAGTTTGGTTGTGATTAGCAGCATTAAGCATCCATAGGAAGCATGACTTGGTACATCGCTTAACCAACATTGACATAATATTCGTAGAAAGTAGAAGTCACGATTAAACTGCACACGATAATCTGCCTCGACGGAGAATTGAACCTCGGTCCCCCTAATTCTCGGTCCGCTGCCTTACCACTGAGCTACCAGGGCGTGCGATTAGGTGCGCAATTTAATACATGATTTCTGCTTGATGCCCGACGTATTGCCAATGAGCTCACAGTATCTGTTCTGGTGTTGCATATTGGCTCACTCACTCGTCACTGCCCAATGGACCGAAGTATCTGTCCTTATGATGTCCAAAGGGCGATGGTAGGAAACATGTGGATGTTTTGGACAGATACTGTGAGCTAATTGGCAATACTTCGTGCATCAAGCAGAAATCATGTATTAAATTGCGCGCCTAATCATCAGCCCTCGGTAGCTCAGTAGTAGGGCAGCGGACCGGTAATTAGTGGGACCGAGGTTCTATTCCCCGTCGAGGCAGATAATTGTGTGCAGTTTAATTGTGGCTTCTACTTTCTACGAACGTTACACTACTCACAAACAGCAAGATTTACATAAACCTTAGTGTTGAAGAATCGTCATGCAGTGGTACAATACAGTTTTTCGATAACTAGTTGATGGGAATAAAG